CACATGATTGGTGCACTCGGAACGGGACAAATGTGGGAGAATAATCCATATCAGCTGAGAGGAGGATGAGAAACATATGACATCATCACATTTCGGTAAGAATGTTTCAGGACCGACATCGTGTTTCCGTAAAAAAGGCAGACGTAGGTCCATCACGGTGTGGGGGCTTGGACTGTCAAAGGTCTGATCGACACCAAACTTGCGAACAACCCTCTCAGCTCCAAATATGATGAAAACAGGGTACAGGAAAGCGTACTGTATGCGAGGGCAGACGATCTATTCACGGGTTGATTTGCACATGTTGCGGCTTCCACATTTGTTATGGGTTACGTCATCTCCTGAACTAAGTGGAACAGGTATATCTAGTTTCACAGGCACTGGATATACCTGGATCGGATAAAACCTCCGCCTGGCTGGAGGAGGCTGAACGATCGAATGTCGGTTTAAGAAGGGCGCGTGTTTATGTGTGCCACATCGGTTATGCCAATCTAAATTGGATCGAAACATGTTGGGCATGCATCACAAGCATCCCGGCACTCCCGCTAAGTTTATGAAGAGCTGAACCAGACAGACGTGACTATGCTTTTACATCTCTATATCTCCATAACCATATCTCTATACCCATATCTCTATATATCTAAACTCGCACTCCCATGCTTTCCTCAACCACACTAGCGAAATCACAAAGCCCACGGCATGCGGACTGTCAGTGAAACAGCCGCGCCTTCGCTCACAGCCCGCCGTGCTGCTGGCTGAGCCCGCGGCGCCGTGCGCACGGCCGTCTGCGGCCAGCTGGAGCGGCGCGGGCCAGCAGCGGGCGGCGCCGGCGGCCGGCGAGCCCCCGTGGGAGAGGTCGGCCGCGTTCCCAGCCGACGCCGCGCTCCCAGCCGCGCCGGCCGCGGCGGTCGCCTCCCAGGCGCGCTCGGCTAATGGATACGTATGGCCGACGGACGCTGCCAAAAGTTCATGCAAATCACAACGGCCGACCGAGCGTTAATGCGATAAATCCCGAAATAGGCTGTGAACTCCGGTGCCGGCCAGATTGGCTTCAATCGATGATTAAGCGCAGGCTGCCGCTTCCTGGAATTATGACGGAGTGGCAGATGGTATCTTAGCTGATCGCTCCAGACAAGCGCTTGTTGGCGGCAGGCGACGAGGCGGAGTGCATGGGCCCAAATATGTGTGGTGGTGGACTATTTCAGAGTGGCATCTGACCTGCATCCGGGCTGCTCTGCAGATGTGCGCCGTCTCAAGCATGCGCTCGCTTCCTCAGAAGCACCGGCTAATTGGCTAGGGGCCAAAACTGAGTTGAGATATATTCTTCATGAACGGGCTCGTCCACACGGCGCCTGGACCAGCTGTCATTATGACACATAGACCTTCAGGGCATTCTGCGGTGTGGGAAACACCTCGAGGTCGCCCCTATTACGAACGCATCATCCACACAGGGCAGTGGAAGAAGCTGTCGGAAGAGGGTTTGATGCCGTATGAACAAAATTTTCAGACAGCTGTCGCTGCGTCACCATTTTCGTCGTGCTCGAAATTAGATATACTTACTCTGTTAAACTGATAAAGCATAAAACCCAGGTAACCAGAAAGCTCAAATTTATTTACCACTTCCCTCTCGGGTGTATCCGGAGCATGGAACCACCAAGATGGCTCGACACCGCTGCTCGGCAAGACGGCTTGACCCCGACGCCAGTCATGCGGCAGAAAAATGCATGCGACATAACAGATTGCACCCATGATTGCAGAATGGAAAGTAAAGGCAAACACTTGGGCCGTGGCGAATTCTACAACAAAAAGCTTGCCATCTGCCGTCACCGTCGGGAGATACCCTGGGGCGACGCAATCTAGGGAATGCCTAGCCACGTCAGGCACGTTCACTTCACGTGAAAACGAAACTGCTGGCTGCTGATCACCGCAATCAATAAGGTGCGGCAGGCCTTGTCTCCAGTGAACGCTTGATTGCACATGAGTGGTGTGGCCACGCTGTTTCGACAGCGATCGAGAATGTTTGATAATTATGTCACTCTCCGACAGCCGACATTTGATCGCCGCGTAGCCAGGCGAGACACGTCCAAAACACTGATGTCGGATCTTCTATCAGGATATAGAGCATGTTGTTGCACGCGCCGTGCATGACTGTCGATACACAGAGTTTGCAATGAACCCCACCGCCCAGGGGCACAACCAAGACGGCTATGGGGCCTTAGACCCCCACTCCACCGTCAGGATCGAGTGGATCTGAGTGGATAAGGAAAACATATAAAAAACATCTAGTTTTAAAACGACTGTTTTGCCATCTCATTAACTACCTACGTGGGGAGTGAGATGCAACAATCAATAGTAGTGCCGCGGTGACCAGGTCAGTAGACAGCCCGGCGGATATGTACGGTATGCAGCCGAGGCAACTGTTGTGGACGTCAGTGTAAACCAACATTGATAGCCCATTGGTAAGCCAAGTACCGCACCTAGTAGCGTCAGAGGTGTCTGTACTCTGCTTGAGTGCGTGAATGGGGCTAGGGCTCGGTCCTAAGCAAACCCCAACCCTCCCCTCTCTGTCCAAAATCCCGGTAGTGGCCCCCACCGTCGCGAATCCTGCAGCGGCCTCCCGCCATCGCCGCGTGGGACAAAACCTCGGTGGTGGTGGTGGTTAAGCTGACCTGGTAGCAGGGGTCAGGCGGTAGTCGAACCGCGGCACGGCCACCAAAAAGCCCCGCCCCACCACCGACCGTTCTGCGGGCGGTCTGCGGCCGGGCAAGGCCGTCATTGTTCGTGGTTTGTCTTCAAACCGGCCGGAAAAACCTCCATCGGCTACAGTGGCGTGCTCCGCGTTTTCTGGCATTGCTCGTTGCTCAAGTCAGAATGTGAGGTCACCGCCGCAGCTCATGTCAGGATGTAAGGTCACCGCCGCAGCTCATGTCAGGATGCGAGGTCACCGCCGCAGCTCATGTCAGGATCTAAGGTCACCGCCGCAGCTCATGTCAGGATGTGAGGTCACCGCTGCAGCTCATTTCAGGATGTGAGGTCACCGCCCAGCTCATGTCAGGATGCGAGGTCACCGCCGCAGCTCATGTCAGGATGTAAGGTCACCGCCGCAGCTCATGTCAGGATGTGAGGTCACCGCTGCAGCTCATTCAGGATGTGAGGTCACCGCCACAGCTCATGTCAGGATGCGAGGTCACCGCGCCCAGCTCATGTCAGGATGTAAGGTCACCGCCGCAGCTCATGTCAGGATGTGTAAGGTCACCACGCAGCTCACGTCAGGATGCGAGGTCACCGCCGCAGGTTGGTCTTCACCCCGCCGCATGACACGTGTCATCCCCTGACATCGAGCTCGGCCGTCCTGACTGACCATACGATGGCGCGGTGAGTGCGCTGAACGGGCCCTTTCACCCAGGGGCCCCTGGGACGTCATCGGGGTAGTCAAAGTTTAGGTGTTATGACAACTTGTGTCAGAGCTGTTGAGGTCGGCCCGTGTTACGTTTCTCCTGCGGTTGAGCTCCCCCGGCATTTGCTCTGAGCACCTCGCATCAGGAATTCTGGTGTTAATATGCGAAATGTTGGCAGATGACTTCCGCTCTTCATAACTGATTACTGAAACATGTGTGGTAACGTTACATATACCTAGCCGGGCTATTAAAGGCTTTACATTGATGAAATCAGAAACAAGCCAAGCACAAATATTGCGCTGTCAGATTAGACTCCAAAGCATAGAAATGCTAATGCGGTCCACTAAATGAATTCAAGTTATCCTCGTTCTCTTCATTGGGCACATAGCACTCACGTTTTTACCATTCCAAGGCAAGGAAACCTCGAC